ATAGCTTAGCAATAACTCGGGTACGTGGGGTCATCACTTCCCAAACGGTCAACCTGCTTCTGTGACCGCCCCTGCGCGAAAAACGATTCCGAGAGTCGACATCAAAACCCTGGCAGAAAAACAGTTTGCTAAGGAATTAGAATGACAGAAAACAATAACTGATTTCTGTCATACTAGAAATAGAGTCTGCTTAATGAACATAGACTCTGCAGTAGTTTTGCCGAGGTAGACACATAGAGACAATTGGGAAAAATCACACTTATAAGAAAGCCGAGCAGCGACAGGTCTTCTGTTAAGAAGAGAGGCCTGAAAGTCATCGTCTCTGGCAAGTGAGATGGGACAGCTCGACGAAAGGTCGGTGGACACATCGACTAATCCCGGATGTCACCAAATGGATCACCCGTGTGCTCGGGGAGGTTGGATTCTACATCACCCAACTCTTGACTGGGCATGGATGCTTTCGAGCATACTTGCACAGATTCAAGAGAAGTGACTCCCCGAACTGTCACCATTGCCGCGTGGTGACCGAAGATGCGGAGCACGTGTTCTTCCGATGCCCTCTATACGAGGAGATAAGGACGGAACTCGAGAGAAATCTAGGCTTGTCCATCAGCCCAGAAAATATAGTGGACTGCATGCTGAAGAGTCAATCGGCATGGAACAAGGTAGCGGAGTATGCTGAGACCATACTCTAGGATCTTCGCACCACCTACGAAGAATAGACAGCAGTAACACCAAATAAGAACGCCCCGGCGAAGTAGTATTTACAAAGAGTGCCGCCGGGGAAAGAACGTTCCTGGAGAGAGGACAGAGGTGTAGGTTAGGTTTTAGTGAGGTAAAAATCCCACATAACTCGTCTGGCACATAGGAGGTTTTACCAGGCGAGTACCTGTTGCAGGTTTCCCCCTTCACCTCTTAAATTTGTATAGCCCTTATACCGTATGATCGAAAAAAAAACGGCATCAGCGATGGCTATGACATGAAAATCGGTATCATTTTATATGTAAATTAATATGGCAGTCATTGATTATATTTCCCAGCCAACTGGACGCCGTTATTTATCGATCATACGGTATTAGCTCTATATATAAGGCTATATTAGCTAATATAGTCTTATATGTAGCTCATTTTGATCCACATCCTTCGGGAAAAAGTAGCCAAACTAGAAGATTTGACTCAATACCTGAAAGAAAACAGAGGTCACACACTTTTATATTGATCTGTTCTGAGCATCTGATCAATTTTCGGAAATAAGCGATGTAGATGATAACAGTAGCGGTACAAGTAAAGAAGAACAGAAGACAATCCTAAATATTTATAATTATTTTTTAAATAGAAAGCATTAACATTACTCCAAATATGAAGTATTTTCCAAATCCTAGTATATACAGTCAATAATATTCCAAATCATCGAACATACCATCTGCTTCTCCTTTATACTGCAAAATACAGACGTCAACTACCCATGTCTATACCCCATACATACGAAATATGTTGCAAGTGAAACCCCCCCGGGTGGTTCTTGCATTATAGTACAGGGTGGGTCAAATTGGACGCTTTTAAAGGGAAACGTCATTTTCTACATGACATAGACGAAAACTAATATCGGTGTCTGGAGCTCAATTTTTATCAAAAACGTGATGGTAAAAACCGCACATCGATATCTGTTACCTTATCGGAGTATTTTTCAAAAATGTGCATTTTTAACAAAACGCTGTTTTTGCCTTTTTTGCTAAGGAAAACTTTGTATTTTTATGTAAACATTTCCAAAGCACCTTTTTAAGGAGAATTTAATGGTTTAAGTATAACTTTTCTAAAATAAATAATTTATCTGAGGGCACGGCAGTCCCCCGCCAAGTACCACACTTTCCTCGAAGGTACTAGCGGCACTTTTGACCACCCTGTAACTTCGTTATGGATAAAGCAAGAATATTAATTTTCACTACACTTGAAGACATACTATATATAGCTGGCTAGGTTACCAAAATATCTAGTAATTATCCCTCATAGTTTATGAATTATCGCTTGTCAAATTTTTTTAATTTCGACATTCGACTCATTGACAGATCATCAAAATTCTGAGGTACTTCTAGATGTGTCACAAACTCCAAATTTATAATTTTAGGTAGCTTTAAGCTTATAACCAAAGGAAAAAATTAAAAATCTCGAAATATCCCGAAATATATAAATATGGATTAAAAGTTAGCTGTCTAGCCGTAACTGGCTTTCCAGTCGAGAAAAAGATAGAAAACTACAATTAATCGGAGCGGTCTCTTCTAATTTTATTTATATATCAATGTACCAACAATAATTCGAGGATTATGAATTTTTCTACTCGGACTTTAACTTGTAATGAAGTCCCTATTTATTTTTTAGTTTAATATGTTAAATACTAGGCTTGAACATATTTCGACCAAGGCTTGATAGCGCGGCGGCAAAGTTCCGCTAGTTCGGAAGGCCGAACTCGGGAGGCCCGAGTTCGAGGCTGCATGGGGGCATAATTTTTTTTATTTTATTTTCGTTAATATTCTGATTGTAAAATATTAAATACATATCTTAAACAATAATTCAAGGATTTATCTCTTATAGTTTTCGAGATAAAAAATAAAATATGTGTAAAATTGACAAAAAAATAATTTTGAATAAGCATTGGTAAAATTATGAATTGAACATTTTTAAAGTTGATATTTGAGTTATAACGAAAATCGGAAACAAATCGTAAAAGGTCCGATTATCTCCGAAACTAAAGCTTCAAAAAAAGTCGTATTATATCTACAAATTCATTTACCCACTAGTAGATATAAAAAACATTTTTGGTAAACTCTGTCTCAAATAGTTTCTGAAAAATAAAATTAATTTTTTTAAAAGGTCCGATTAAATTTATATCTCCGAAACTAAAGTTTCAAAAAAAGTCATACTATATCTACAAATTCATTTACCCACTAGTAGATATAAAAAAACAATTTTGGTAAACTCTGTCTGAAATAGTTTTTGAAAAATAAAATTATTTTTTTTAAAAGGTCCGGTTAAATTTATATCTCCGAAACTAAACTTTTCAAAACTAAAATTAATTCAATTGATATTATCTGACTTTATATACTGACTTTTAATTATACGATAATTCAAAGTTTATGAATTATAGTCAAACTTCTTTAGTATTCTTTTGAATAACCCGAAAAAAAATAGAAGGATAACTTACAAAAAGAAGTAAGATCCCATCAAAAACATAGAATGTAAAAAAATACCAAGTCTCGCAACACAATTTCTCCGCTATAAAAACTTGTGAGATCTCATCTAAAACCAAGTCAGTTTATTTTATTTATTCTCTCTCTCTTTAAGCACCTATTCAACAATTTTGATATAAATTGTTAGTATCAATATTAGTTATCTTTATTTCTATAATAATTATAATGACTTGGCAATTGCACGATATGATATTCTATGGTAATTAAAAAACTTTATTCTTAAGTGCACCGTTTATTAGATTTACTTCTTAGTAATCGAAATAATAGATTATTCTTTTTTATAATTATGGTGCCGTGCATGCAATTGCCAAGTCATTATGATTATTATAGAAAGAAAGATGACTAATATTGATAGTAACAATTTATATCAAAATTGTTGAATAAGTGCTTAAAGAGAGACTAAATAAAATAAACTGACTTGGTTTTGCATGTGATCTCACAACTTTTTATAGCGGAGGAATTGTGTTGCGAGACTTGGCATTTTTTTACATTCTATGTTTTTGATGGGAATCATTAATTTAAAATTAATAGTTATCAACAGAAAAAAATATTTTTGTTATTTGGAACACCCAATTTGTATGGTTTTATTTAACTCAAAAGAACTTAGAATTATCTTTCCAAAAATATAGCACACTTAATATTTTGTAAGTCCCCTTCGAAATACAGAATTTCGAAGTTCGCTACTTTTAACTAGTAGGCTTTGGACCCTTATTGATGATCTGTCCCTAATGGAACTCGAAAACATATTTTTCCAGCAAGACGCGGCACCGTCTCAGAACGCTGAAGTAATCAGCAAATTTTTGCAGCTAATTTCGAGAATAATAATTATTGAATAGCTAACAAAAATCCCAGCCGTTAGCCGTCGAGGCCGTCGGACTTGGCGCCTATGGATTTTTATCTTTGCGGAAGAATAAAGGTTCTTATTTTTAAATTACCCGTATAATGTAAACAATAATTAGCGGCTATGCGAGGGTATCATTCACCCCCACTGAGAAATGTTCAAAAACGGTCCCGTCTGTCCATAACAGAAGACGGTCGACATGTCAAACACCTGTAGCAAAATATCATGTCTTGGTTAGCTATTTATTTTGATTGTTATTAGGTAGAGTTTAGTTCGGTTTGAAATAAAAAAATTATAAAATTCAGCACCTCACATCTCAAATATTATTTTAGTTTTAATTGCTGCTCACAGCTAGATTTTTCTTGCATTACAGCCGGCGCCGTTCAAGGCCTACCTATTCAAAGTGGGCGAATTTTGAAAAACTCTATATCTCGAAGAGGAATCGAGCAAAATATCAAGTGTGCTATATTTTTGGAAGGGTAATCTTAAATTATTAATTTAAAAAAAAACATTTTAAAACCGTTAAATTCTACGTAAGTGTTTTGGAAATGTTTTCATAAAAATACAAAATTCTCCATAGCAAAAGAGTTAGAGCGATTTGTTTAAAATGAATATTTTTGGAAAACACATTGTAACTCCGAAACGGTGAGAGATATCGATGTGCGGTTTTCACCATCATGTTTTTGATAAAAGTTGAACTCCAGACACCGATATTAGTTTTCGTCTATCTCCTATAGAAAAGGGTGTTTCACTTTAAAAGCGTCCAATTTGATCCACCCTGTACAGTTAAAAGGCATAACATGGACAATTTCACCTCAAAGCAACCTGCCATAAGATTACTAGTAATACCAGCTGGTAGTTAATAAGCTGCGAGCTATAGTTCATTATAGGATATATTTGTGATTAAAAAACGATTGCGATTACCTTTTATTTAGACCTTTATCGTGTACGACATACTTAAGAAAAAAAAACAGTTTACCTTATCATCTAGACACATTTTTTACTCACCAACTATAAAACTAGATATATATTTTATAAAGATCATTGTCTGATGTTCCTTATTTTATTTAGAAGTAATTTAATTTAATGAAAAATAATAATGAAAAAAGTAATTACTAATAAGAAAATTTGTATTATGAACTTAACTAAAACAATATAGACTTTTAAAAATAACATTATGAGATTCGGCTTACCTTAAAACTTTTGTATTTACCCACATTCATTATCATGATACAAATTTAAAAAAACGCATACTTTATATTGTACGAAATTTAAAAATACAAAAATTAATATTTTCAAATGTATTATAAAAAGAAATCATAGCTAATGCTCATTTCTACAGTTTTTAAAACATTATTAATGCAGACAGATCATACTCTTCAAATTATCTCAATAAATGATGTTGATATTTAAATCATTAATCCGTGCAAATTTTTTCATTTGTTCATTTAAGTAACGATAAAAATATAACATTTATGCTTGGAAAATAGAGGGTGTGCCAAATAGTTTGAAACAAATTGAAAAAGATATTATTGAGTTACAGAAAATACACCCGAAATTATATTCAATCATAAGATGTTAGATATAAAATTTAATAAACATGTACTTAAAAATATTTTATTTTAAATTTTGGAGGATTCAAAGTGAAAAATTAGAAATAGAACACTTAAACCTCACCTAGAAGATATTTTATATTTTTAAGAGAAATGGTAGTTCAAATGAACCATTACTCTCGATTCTACTTCAAACGAAATGTTGAACTAAATGTTACTATTCTGCACTAATATGATATAAATAATATATAAAACATTACAAAGACTTTAGTATAGTAATATTTAAAAAAATGAAGTAATAAACCTTGTGATATTTAAGTCAATATCATAAAAAATATTGATACCTAAAAAAATTAATACATATATACCTATAGTACAATACCCTACGGTACCCTAAGTTTAATATTTCAAAATTTAGTAGATTCACAAGGAAGAAATGAGAAATAGAATAATTAAACAGTCCCAGAAAATACTTAATATTATTAAGAGAAATAGTAGTTGAAATGAACAACTATTCTCAATTCTATTCAAAAGGTATATTCAATATTATGTATTATGCCCTTAAATGATATAAAATAATATAAAAAATATGAAGATTGAAGTTTACTATTATTTAAAAGTCTTAAGTGCACAAAAAAATTCTAGTAATTTGTCAATATAAATAATTTAAAAATCTTCTTTTGCCGTAGTCAAAATTAAACATTTGAAATTATTAGATAAGCATAAATGTTGGAAACAACTAACATTTAGAAGATTAAAAAGATCATAAAGTTATACGCAAATTATATAAAAAATAAAAATTATACTCTACAACATAAAAAATATATATAAATAATTGATGTTGCTCTTTAGCTCTCTAAATATTTGATCCAAACAAACCAAAACCCACAATTATCTCAAAAAGATATATCAATGTTAAGAGTTATCGTTTAGTGTAATTTCTGTAAATTAATATGAAAGTGTATAAAGGGCTTTATGAATGGTGTGTTAACAAAAAAAATGTATAAATAAAATCTCTCAGACTATTCACATTCACAAAATAAAAATTGATAACAGAAACACTTTATACTCGTCACATCAATTGATACACCGTCAACTGAGGCGAGTGCCATTCCCGAGTTTACCAATGATTTTTTTTTAAATTACATCGAATTAAGAATTCGATGATGACGTGGTAGCGATGATGGCTAACCCGGCTGTAAACACTGACCAGAACAAAAGCGTCGCCTCGACCTGATTGGCTACGAATCTAACGCTATCCAACACCTGTTTCCACAGAGGATTCAGTTCAGAGGGTTTGCTGGTAGGCAATAGATTTCTGGCTTTCAAGAAATCTTCCAGGGCGGGTGAGTCTTTAGAATAGGGTGGAAAATATTCAGCCACTTGTTCACGGACCCACCAAGCTGTACCAGAACTAGTAGAAAAAAAAAATAAAATTTTATCTCTTTGGGTTCTTACTAAAAAAAAAAGTACTGAGTGATCAACGACAAAGCAAAGTTGATTTTTGAAAAAGAAAGTGTTATTTTTGGAGATGTTTAGGAAATGTAGGTACACTTGTAGTATATTGTGTGCTTCAAGAAAGTGGCGGATATAACGTATAGGATCTACCAAATAACCTTTTAGTCACGCGATTAAGCTTGCCTGGCACAACGACTTAATAAAAATATTTTAAGAAACAAAAATGAATTAATTATAAACATGTAAACATTTATTATTTACATTCATGAAACTCACGTCTCCCTAACAAGACTTAAGGGACATAAAGGGTCAATATTATAGAGTTCCCATTCGAAACATTCTAATAAGGATGCAATGACGAATAAAAATATCAGTAAATAAATATGGCAACTTGACCTTTCAAAAGGCTGCAAAAACGGTAAATATATAGTTAAAATTGATTTATTCCTGAAAAAAACTTTTGATTCTAATTTTTTTTGTAAGTATTTGATATACTTATTATAGATATTGTAAAAACATATTTTTAAGTTTAACCCAGAATCGTTATTTTAAGTTATTTTTATACGTGTTAGAAGTTAGTTAAAAATAATAAATTTATTTTCCTCTTTAAACATACCGTGCTGGCAACTGTTACTTTTGGGTCGGCATTTACATGTGTGGAAGTAAATCGCATAGGGATCTTATTAAGTCGGAGTGGGAGAAATGGGACCGACCGACGCGACGCGCGACGGTGTGCTGTTGCGGCGTTGCCGATACGCCTTTCCCTATTAGGTAAAGTAAAATCACGATCGCAAACCGCTTATTTTTAAAAGACTTTTTTTCAAGAAATAACTAGATAAAATCATTAGGTTTGTAATGTTTCTCAGCATCTGAAATGGAATTATAAGGATATTGTTAGGGTGTCATTTTTTTTATAACGAGAAAGTCAGTAATCGCGATAATTTAAAAACTCAAGTTTTTAACACATAACAGGCAAAATAAAAACACTAAATCACCACAATACACCAAAACACTTTTACTTTTACACTGGACGCGCGTTTCGCTAACCATGTTAGCATCATCAGCAGATGATTATAAACTTTAAACATAACAGAGTTTATAATCATCTGCTGATGATGCTAACATGGTTAGCGAAACGCGCGTCCAGTGTAAAAGTAAAAGTGTTTTGGTGTATTTTGGTGATTTAGTGTTTTTATTTTGCTGTGTAACACCAAAGGTTCCAACCCTCAACTGTAATACATAACAGGCCATAACTCAAGAACCACTTTAGATATTGAAACTTTTTTATTTTCAAGATCGGATATTTTACAATATGTTTACATAAGAAAAATTCGATAAGGTTGTTTTTTCCATTCAAAAATTGTAAACAATCCATCCATTTACTTTTAGAGCACAGCAATTTTCAGCAATCGTGTAATTTTTTTATTGATAAAGATTTTCACATACTGTGTACAAATAAAATACAGCAGAAATAATAACAAAGTTCTTGAAAAAACTACAATCTATTATTTCTAATAGATTTCGAGATATCGATTTTTGAATTCGGAGTTCTAATAGCGCGACCACTATCAAACACCCACTCAATTCCACTTATTTTTACCAAAAATGCAAGTGTTTCTAACTTGCACTTAAAAAAATTCAAGAAAATTCAAGCTATAGGGAAAATTACGACTCGTTAATAAATAAACAAATCAAGTATCACGAGACGTAATTAAATCGTGAAGCTGAACGCATGACGTACACCTTTCCCTAGAACTTTAGGTACCGACAGAGGTATTGATTGGGTCGACCGGTCAACTGCGACAAATCTGCTATATCTCCTTCCACTTCTCTTAGCGATGTGCACAGTTTCTCGGTTTATTTCATACGTTTGGCAACGTGTTTATTGTCCTCTCTTTGTTCAGTACATTATAAACGCATTGTACTCTTCTTACATACGGAAATCTCGACCCAAGACTAACCTTTGCCAGCCCTTAGTATAATAACCCTTAAACCAGTTATTAGTAGTCCAGCTTTCAGAAACAATAGCTCTAGAGGCATTTCTTATAATACGGAAAATTATTATGTTAAATACAAAAATTAGAAACTTTTTGGATTTATATATTATCTAAAAAGTTATATAACTTAACAGAGAAATTAAAAATTAAACTAAAAAATAAACAGCTACATTAAAAGAACATGTTATATCCACACTTTTAAGTACACTGTAGACTCGAAAATAAATTTTAATTGTCCAAAAAATAATGCATTGAGAATGATGCATTAATAAAACATTCCATAAAACCATTCCATTTAACATTTTTTTGTATCTCTCAAAATAAATTAAAAATAATTTCCTATATAAATAAAATAATTTCACAACTTTGCTTTATCAATATAACTAATACTTATATGCAACTAATACTTACTGTTGACTCATTGTAGTAAATTTATATTTATACAAGACGCCTCTAATGTACTTAGGAGGCTTATCTCCAAAGGCCGAATGACTTTTATCAATAAGTATGAGAGCTTCTGGCCTACCAGTCAGCAACCTATGGGTCAAAGACAGTAACCAGGGTTGTTTATCATAAGTACTCTGTGCTGCCCAATAGAACTGCCAATCCAGTCTTGGTGAATATGGAACTGGAGAATTGAAAAAAAAATCGTAAATTAGTATAGGAGTAACACATATAACAAAGAATAACATTACCAACAAAGGGCAAAGAATGATTAATATTGCCTGGCTTATAAAGAAAGTTGTACTCTTTCCAGGGCCCTTCCAAACTGTTTGACCCTTCTAAAATAATCTCTGGCCTGCCTTCAGCTCCGACTATTTTTGGGAACAACCCATACTGATTCACGATTCTAGTCTTGTGTAATCTGTTGTATGTTGTTTGTAACGTTGGGTGAACGGTAGAGTTTGTTTTAGGATGGATAGATGCGAGAGGAACCTATAAAATCGTTACTTATAAACGATTCTGTTTAAAATTGGAATATTAATACTTACAGTACTTGAAAAGAAAATAGTCAGGGCCACAACAGCGTAGAATATAGTGCCCAATATTCCAAACGCTTTGTTTCCACTGTAACCTTTGTTGAACAAGATTCGAGTGAGGCATAAAAGGACTGTGAGAGCCAAAGTCACCAAAATACCACAAATGGCGTATTGCAGATAATCTCCGATGAAATTGCCGAACTGAATCTTCGTAAAAGCTGAAACAAAGATTACACATTATATTATGAAAGAATTATTTCACTGCAGTCATAAAGCATATTGTCATTAATGTGTTTTGTTCTTTACTGAGACTTCTTAAAATCACTGGATCTACTCTTAACACGACTTGTCTTTTGCAGGCCTTACTCTCAGAGAGGACACACCTTGTTGTTTCTAGTTACTGAATACCGAATGTCAAAATTAGTGATAGTCTTTTTCAAATTGTAGAAAAAATTAACAAATTTTTGACTTTTCCACTAATTATACTTCAAAAGTTGCGAAGAATGTCATTTTTGGCCTTTGATTATCACCCGTCAAGAGAAATTGTGGTTAAAAATCAAAAATTGATTGTTTTATAAGCTAAATATTAGGCTCTCTCTATGGATACAACTGACTACCGCAAGCTGTTGCTAGGATATTCTATTAATTTTAATTGTATTTATTAGACATTGTAAATGATCGTAAATTCCTCATATAATTTTATATATAAAATGACAACGATCTTTATTTCATAGCCATCGCCGACGCTGTTTTCTTTATCATAAGGTATTTCTAATAAAAATAAAATAATAAATTTAATTGTTTAATATCAAAAATATTGCTACTGGGACCCACAAAGTAAAATTATTAAGTAGTAATAAATACAAAAATAAAACCATAATTAAATATCACTAAACCTTACATCTTAGAGATTCTTTGAAAAAATCAGATTATTTTAACAATGCCATCAATGAAGCCAATCAATCAAGAATCAACGCCATCTAGTGGCCACTAAAAAAGTCATACCGTACAGTTTATGACTTCAAAAGTAGCGCAAAAAATACATTTTTTCTATACAAAGTTGAATAAAATCAACTTATCCAAAACAGGTACATCAACATTTAAAAGTAAAAATGCTTGACTTGCCTCACCACTATTTTCAATGACAAAAATGGTCTAAAGCAAAAATGTACATAATTAGTTGAAAAATGCACAACGCTTTCTCAACTTACTTTGTTTAAAAAAATTAAGAGAACATTGAATTTTCGATAATGTTACTAGTAAGCCCCTAGCAGCCTACTTTCAAACTTGGAAGAAAATGTCTCTTCGCCGCTCTAGTAATAAAACATTTTACAACAATAAAAGTTTTTAAGACAAGTATTTTCCGACACATGACCGAAACATATCCTCCATCACAAGTACTGGGACAGCCAATACTTATAATATGTAAAAAAATAGTATATTGTTTTATCAGAAGTAAGAATGATACCTTTTTTAGGCAGGCTGTAAGTTTGAAGACATTATTATCTTATTTTATTTTTATATTGTCAATCGCCTGGCAAAAATTAATATTTTTGTGGCAAACAAAATTATTTTTACAGGCATCCTTGCCACCACAAATATCCTCCTGACAATTTATATGTAGTTAAATGTTTTTTTTTTGTTTGTTTTCAATAGACATATTTCCACCTGACGAGTATATTGAGTATGTGTGTGTATAAAAGACTATGATATTTTTTTTGAAAATTGTTTCTTGAGATTATGGTCCGTAATAAAATGTTTTTTAAGTCAAACACATTTTCATAGTCAACGTTTCGATCTTTATTAGATCTTTATCATAACCTTTTTTTTATAACCTTGGACGTCACAAAAACAAAATTATAAATTTAGATTTTAACACAGTAATAGTCACATTACCAGATTTAATACCAAACATAATAGCCTAAGAGCTGACGACATATTTAGAGAACATATTTTAGGCAAGCTAGAATAACTAAAAATGTATAGTTTATTAACTGGTGAACCCAGAATCCAAAGTTTGGCTGGGGGGTTGGGGGTATTTCGCTACTGCGCAACCCATAACATTTGCAAAAAAATAAATCCAAAAAACATTCTTTAGGCAACTTGAAATTTGTTTATTCTTAAATTTTAGCATCTATTTAACCTAGAAATAAGTATGCCAGACTTTTTTTTCGGGTTTAAAGTGTAACCCAACCATTCCAAATATGTTTAATTATTATACCTGGAAAACATACTTTAGGCATTCTAAAATTTTTACAGCGTGTTTATTAGATGATATTAAAAAATGTGTTAATTGCCAGACGAATTCAATGGGATTTAATACTTGCCAGACGCGAATTAAGATTTTAAATAAGCGCGATAAGAAAGTCTTATGAGTATCTATAAGCGCGAGAGAGATAGTTTATTGAGACCCTGTCGGCAGCCGATGCGGCTGACGTAACAGCATTTTGGAGTCGTAAAAACTTAAAAAAAAAACTAACTAATATTGAATAAATAAAAAGAAACATTTTTTAATAAAAATGTATGATTGAAATCCTTTCAATAAGAAGACTTTTCAATTTAAGTATTTTGTATCTGAAAGAATAAAAAGACGAATAATTATTTAAAAATTAGCATAATATAAAATATTTTTTTCAAACGTCACAAAAGTATAATTATTATTATACTTTTGTGACATATTATATTATTATTAATTTTTGCGACCTGATTGACAATATAAAAAAGTCATTTTAACGCCTAAGCATAAAAGTAAAGCACTTTTACTTACTTTTGAATTTATTTAGAAAGATTAACAATGGTACTTTAATAAAATTCCAGAATACTTATTTTTTTAGCACTGTACAGGGTGGGTCAAATTCGACGCTTTTAAATGGAAACACCCTTCTCTATAGGAAATAGACGAAAACTAATATCGGTGTCTGGAGCTCAATTTTTGTCAAAAACGTGATAGTGAAAACCGCATATCGATATCTGTTACCGTTTCGGAATTACGGGGTGTTTTTCAAAAATATGCACTTTTTTCAAATCGCTGTAACTTTTTTGTTATGGAAAATTTTGTATTTTTATGAAAACATTTCCAAAGCACCTTTTTACGTAGAATTTAATGGTTTAAGTATAATTTTTTTAAAATTAATAATTTAAGAATTATCAACAGAAAATTTGATTTTTTATATGGGACACCCTGTATATTTTTAATGTATTGAAAATAATTTAAAATTACCTTTCCAAAAATATAACACACTTGATATTTTGCTCGATTCCTCTTCGAGATATAGAGTATATAAAAATTCGCCCGCTTTAAATGAGCAGGCTTTGAACGGCACCGGCTGTAATGCAAAAAAATCTAGCTGTGAGCATCAATTAAAACGAAAATAATATTTGCTATGAGAGATGCAGAATTTTATAACTATTTAAAATATATTTAATCAACATCAACACATTTAAACTATATCTAATAACAAGAAAAATAAATAGCAAACCAAGACATGAGATTTTGCTATAGGTGTTCTACATATCAACCGTGTTCTGTTATGGACAGACGGGGCAGTTTTTGAACATTTCTCGCGGAATTCATTAACTCAGTGGGGGTGAAAGATACCCTCTCATAACTGCTAAGTATTTCTAATTCTTGTCTAGATTATACGGAAGAATAAGGAACATTTATTTTTCCGCTAATCGATAGGATTAGATCCATGGGCACTAAGTCAGGCGGCCTCGACGGCCAACGGCTGGAATCTTGGTTGGCTATTCAATTATTCTTGAAATTAGATGCAAAAATTTGCGTCTTGGTGGAAAAATATGTTTTCGAGTTCCATTAAGGGCATATCATCAATAAAGGGTCCAAAGCCTACTAGTTAAAAGTGGCGAACTTTTAAAAATTCTGTATTTCGAAGGGGATTATAACAAAATATCAAGTGTGCTATATTTTTGGAAAGGTAATTTTAAATTCTTTTCAGTTAATTAAAAATATAAAGGGTGTCCCAAATAAAAAATCAAATTTTCTGTTGATAACTCTTAAATTATTAATTTAAAAAAAATTATACTTAAACCATTAAATTCTAGGTAAAAAGGTGCTTTGGAAATGTTTTTATAGAAATACAAAATTTTCGATAGCAAAAAAGTTACAGCGATTTGTTAAAAAGGCACATTTTTGAAAAACACCCCGTAACTCCGAAACGGTAACAGATATTGATGTGCGGTTTTCACCATCATGTTTTTGATGAAAATTGAGCTCCAGACACCGATATTAGTTTTCGTCTATCTCCTATAGAAAAGGATGTTTCCATTTAAAAGCGTCGAATTTGACCCACCCTGTACATGGTACCCTTTTGTCGGGACTACGTTTTCTGGTAAAACCACTTCTTTAAATTTTAAACCATGTTGTTGGCGCACTTTTAAAAATTCTTTGTATTTTTGTAGTCTGCCGTCATCAAAAACAATAACTTTGTCATAGTAACTTTTTTACAAACTACACAAATTAAATGTTTTTTATCCATTGTGATTTAGTAGTTAGTAGCGAAATTAGTTACTGAAATATTTATTTGCAGTAATTATTCTAAACTATTTACACTATACACGTCAATATTTAATTTATAAATACATATTTCTACATGGTAACTTAATTCCAACAAAATAATCTCTGAATTAAAAGCCTGCAAATAATTGAAATGAAACCGAAAAAATATTGTTTATGAAAATTTGAAGTACTCCAAAATACTGTTACGTCGGCCGCATCGGCTGCCGACGGGTCTCAATAAACTATCTTTCTCGCGCTTATAAATACTCATAAGACTTTTTTGTCGCGCTCGTTTAAAATCTTTATTCGCGTCTGGCAAGTATTAAATCCCATTGAATTCGTCTGGCAATTAACACATATTTTTTTATATCATCTAATAAACACGCTGTAAAAATTTTAGAATGCCTAAAGTATGTTTTCCAGGTATAATAATTAAACATATTTGGAATGGCCTGGTTACACTTCAAACCCGAAAAAAAAGTCTGGCACACTTATTTCTAGGTTAAATAGATGCTAAAATTTAAGAATAAACAAATTTCAAGTTGCCTAAAGAATGTTTTTTGGATTTATTTTTTTGCAAATGTTATGGGTTGCGCAGTAGCGAAATACCCCCAACCCCCCAGCCAGTCTTAGGATTCTGGGTTCACAAGTTATTAAACTTTTTTTTTGTTATTCTCACTTGCCTAAAATATGTTCTCTAAATATGTCGCCAGCTCTCCGGCTATAATATAGACTATATGTTTGTTTTACAAACAACCAAACAAACATGTAGACTAGAGATGAGCGATATTTTTGTACCGGCGACTTTTACCGGTGACTTACATGGTCACCGGTAATACCAGCGACCTATTTCTACGGCAAGCAGCGAACAGCGACCCTGGTCGCTGTTGAAATAGTCGCTGACGATTGACTACGATATGGTAGCCGGTCCCTGGTCGCAGCATCGAATCTTGGTGCAAACGGAGCACAACGGTGAGGTGTGCGTCAGGCGATGTATTGCAAAATACAGACGAGCGTATTATATGATTTATTTATTTTTTATAACTCACTAATTCTTGGATCTATCACAACCTACTCTTGGAATCATATAAAATATAATACATTAGTATACATTTAATTATCAATTGCAAAATTGTTTAACTAACAAATTTAATTGTATAACTATGTAAGTCAGAAAACATAATTTTTTCGTAAAATGTTGTATACTTGTGATTGTAAATGAATAAAGATTATTATTATTGTATACGGAACTCGTCCAGATATTGACGTTGAATAAAAAAAAAACATTCTCTGTTCATACCTGACATTTAATAAAATGTGTGTATCTTACCGTAACTAATTGACAGTGATGCCTATTATGCAAGAAATAAGAATATTTGAGCGGCTCTCGTAACTAGTAGTGGGAAGTATCGAATGAATACTATCGAAACATTCGATAGTTGCAATTCATTCGAATAATTCGATAGTTAGTCAGAAAACATTCGTTGAAAACTATTCGAATAAAAATTATCGAATAGATCCGTCATCTGCCTTGAAATATTGTATTCTAGTAATTCGGCAGCAAAAACCATTCATTTATAAAATTCATTCATTTATGAAATTTATTTATTCGTCAGGATCGATTATAATAAAATATTAACTGAATTTTAGTTGTCGCACGGCGATGTAGGTTTCTTTCCGAGAAACCCGACAGCGGTCGGTGGCAATGCTATGAAAGAAGCCTTTGATTTTTTGCGGAGTCAGATATAGATAAGGACACATTATTTTTTTTATTGAGGTGCTAGTATTTATACAGAAAATACATTATGAAGGGCGCTGTTGCCATATTTTGGTATTAGTTGATATTAGCAAAGAATATTATTGTTTGACTTTAGTTAGTTAGGGATAGTATGTCTATATATTCTGCATTTTATTAATATTCTGTTGTTACACTGCAATAATACTTGTTATTTTGGATGTAGGAAAATGATTTTTAATGTTTTTAAGCAAGTACTGGTTTAATAAATAATAATAACAGTAATAATTTGTTATACCTATTAACAACAAAATTTAAAATCATTTAATATACATATTTTTTTCAAGTAGTAGCAAAATATAAACAACAAATTAGATGTCAAAATTATTTATATTAGATCCTATTTAAAAATAATATAGTCTCTAAATTTTTTGGGGGGCAACGTTGGTTTATTAAATAATAATAATAATTACAGAACAAATTTGTTATATTAACAACAAATTTTAAAATCATGAAATATAAACATTTATTAATTTTCTAAGCATACAATGTAATGGAAGAAAAATATAAATAAAAAATTAGAAATCAAAATTATTTATATTAGGTGCTTTATATTACTGTTTAAAAATTATATTTACTTTTACTGGCATTTACTTTAAAAAATAAATGAAATATTTCTTCGCAAAAAACTACATGTAAGAGAATTAGCATAAACAAAATACAAACATCGTTAACTTTTTTTTTTAAATTGGCACGTGTAAAACTTTCATTTTAATTTTCTCACACCATAGTTTGAGTTCGATAACCCCCCATTTACTTAACCACATTACTTAAATATGATTATTAAGGTCAACTAATTCATATTATTAAAACATCTAAAATACAAATATGTATTTTTAAAATTAATTGTAAGTTCATCTCATCTCTCTTAAAAATTGTTACTTTTCAAAATTTCCCATTAAAAAATAGACCATATATCATATAAAATTAAATAATTGAAAGATCGGACTACGGAAAACCACACAAATTTTCGGAAAAATTTTGACCACTTGCACATGCACACAATCGTCAATAAATAAAATTAAAAAATAACTACTATTTTAGTATTTTAACTATTTTAATAAACGCAAAAATAGCACGGTATTTATACGGCGAAGTTATAAAATTTGGAAGAACTAATAATGCACTGACGCATAAAAATCAAACGAATACTAAATTTCATTTATCAAAAGCATTCGATAGTCGTGGCTCAACGATAACCATTTAGTCGCACGGCGAGGTTGTCACATATGCTTTAGTATACAAATGAATGAATGATTTTATTCGAATAAAACCATTCGATAGTTGAAATCATTCATTCATTAAACATTCGATAGTCTAATTCATTCGATAGTTCCCATCGCTACTCGTAACGGGATATAAATTTAAAATTAATCTAATACATAAATAGTCATATTAAATATTAAATAAACTTCCCAAAGGAACATTATACGTTTATTTGACTAGACTAGACAAAAAAATGGTATCAAAAATGTTATATCTTTGTCTTTTGGTGAACATAATTTAACTATTATTTTTAGACATAATATTTCGTAATTTGTATATTTAAATAATTATAATTATTGATAAAAGCTAATAATCCTTTCACGTTTTTTTATGTCGCACTTTTATTACAATTACTTACTTTTTTTACTTTTTTTCTTTTCCACAATAATTAACATCGCAACTATTTAATAGACGTACAGCGGCGTATCGAATGAGCTAATTTAAACAGCGACTTCGGCGTGAGTCGCTGGTCGCTGGCACACATCGATACGCCCGGTCACCGTCTCGGCTCCTAGCGCAAGCTGAAAACGGAATCGGATGAAGACGAGCGGTATTTTGTAGTAATGAGTGAAATATCGGTAACTGTTACTTTGTCACTGATATTCTATAATCACAGTCACGGCCTGTGACTGATTTGAAAATAAACGGTGACTTGTTAAAGCGTGACGATTACAGTTAATTGTGATTTCTCTGGTAACGAGAAAATACTTCACAGAGCGAGACGTCGCGCGTCGCGAACGCAGCTGCCGATGGCGCTGCGTTCGTGACTCAGTTCACAGTCACGAGTCGCGACGTACGTCTCATAGGATAGATATCTGACAAAGTGATCTAAAGACAGTGACTTTTAGAAGTGATTTAATTTTTTATGTATTTTATATTTTATTACTATTTTTTATCACTACGAATCGGTTTGGTTCCTTTTTAGTTTAGCAGGTTTTTTTAAAGCCAAACATAAAGTTTTACCTTTATACTGTTTATTTTTTTTAGAAACTTATTTTTTTATATATTTCGTTTATTTTAATACAAAGGAAAATATTTGTTGTTTAATGTATTACTTATCTCGTGTTGTTAAGTTTTGTTCGTTATGGTTATGAGCATATTGCATATTTTATTCTTTTCCCATTGGTTTATTTAAATAAAAAAATTGTTTTATTTTTATTTTTTAATATACATTTTACCCACTGTTTAGTGTTTTCTATTTCAGCGGCCTTGGATAAAGGACAAATAAAAATTAGTATAACAACAACAGAATCGTATCATTCGTATCGTATCTTATATTTTAGCCGTGATTGTGCTTTCGGATTCATAATCATAAAGTCGCAGTCACAGTTAAGAGTCACAGATAATACAAAGTCGCTGTCACAGGTAAGCCTGTGAACAGAAAATCACGGTTTGGCTCATCACTAGTATTTTGTACCGGTGAGTCCCGACCGACGCGACGGTCCCGCTGCTAAGAGTAACCAGCGACCGTCTGGTCGCTGTCACCGGTATACCGGTGACTTAAAGTCTCTGTAAAGCATCTCTAATATAGAATATATATTTGTTTTGATAAAGATCTAATAAAGACAGAAACGTTGACTATGAAAATGTGTTTGACTTAAAAAAAAACATTTTATTACGAACCATAATCCCAAGAAACAATTCTCAAAAAAAATATAATCTATTGTCCGAAGAATGATACAATCCAAAAAGGATTATAAGAAATATTATGAACATTAGAGAACTGCTTACCAATTTGAGCATCCAATATTCCACCAGTAAATTTTATTCCGTACAATTTAACAGCTCCATAGGCTAGACCAGCCCAGACACCAACAGTTAACGTGTGGTCCAAAAGATCTAACTTTGAATTGGGTTTTTTCTTGCCAAAGAATACTTGATCGTCCAACAAAGATAAGAGAAGAGTGACTATCAAGATGTTCTCGTAGTTAAAATTGCCCGTAGCAACAATGCAAGTTTGTAAAAAGGCCTAAAAATATAAATCAATGCATTTTAGAGAAATTGAACTTACAGTCACTATCATAATAGTGGGTTTTTATTCTACCATAGTATAAGTTAAGCAGTAGTTTATCTTAACACTATTGACGGAAAGTAGTATTTATTTGATGGTGCTGGTATTACATACCATACCAGAGAAATAAGAGCATCACAGTAGCCTTTCAAATGACAATTATTGATAATTTGTGTCAAGGTCCACACATATGTCATTCATTAAAACTTGACATAAAATCTTTGACATAAAATTTTTTCAAATAGATTTGTTTGAAAAGTTTTTAAGTTTTCCAACTACAAGCAAAGTTTATATAGATGACGTAGATGGAAAACGGATTTTTTTTTCGTCAAGTTTTAAAGTGTTGTATTTTTTTACTTTTAGCCCTATTTTCATGAATTTTTTAGCAAAGTCTATATAAATCTATCAACTTTAATACACAAACTCAGTTTTTTATAAAGTTTATTATTTGGCTTATTACACAGGGTTAATTGAAGGGCTGTTTTTACACTAACTTTAAAACACCCTAGACAATAATTTCGTGAGTTACTTTTCTTAAAACATTATTTTTCGACCAGAACCATGTCTCCTGAGAATTTTATTATTTGACTTACTTTTGTCAACACATGCCTTGGTTAATTGGTGATGGTCCACTTTAGGTACGTCGTCAATCCTGAAGTTATTGATGTAAATTTGATATTAATATATTCTACAATTAATGTTTTAACGTTTTAAGTACGCATCGTACGGATACTCGGCTAAATGTTTGAGATTTCTGCAATAAAATTATTTGTTTTTTGAGGTTAGAATATAGCTTTCTTTATTAAGTTTAATAAGAGTGACAAGGAAGACGCAGATTTAGGTTTATTTGTCTTTTGCTCGCGTCTGCGTATATCGCTGGCGGTAATAATGAAATATTGAAAATTGAAATTTTGTTTTATTTATACTTTCCTATTCATTTTGAAAAATAGCGGTAGCGATATTAAGCTGATAAGAATAGATATTATATTTTGATCTATTAAAGGTTGAGAAGAGGATTACAATGGTAAAAACGTCCGCCGTAATCGAGTTTTGATTGCATTGGTTACAGCATTCTTTTTGGGGGGTTTGTTTTTGGTGTTATTTATGGACGATCCGCAGTTTTTTGTTAGAAAATGTCATTATAAGTGTTCCTCTTCTCAATTCTGTATAGAAAATTTTAAAAGTTTGACGTACCTAAAGTGGACCAGACCCAGTTAATTTTCAAGGGCGAAATGAACTTGTCACCAACAATTTGCAATTTCTTCAACTATCATTACTTTATGATGTCATTTTTAGCCGTTCATACCAACAGGTATGGTAAGCTATTAAGATCGGCAAAAACAAAAGTTTTTTTTAATTTCACTCAAAATGAGTTATTTGGGCCATAAATGACCTAAATACAAAATATTTTCATGGTGTCTGTCTGTCTGTCCGTCTGTCTGTAACACGATAACTCAAAAACCGCTAAACCGATTTTAACCAAATGTGGCACAAAAATACTGTGGCACCCGAGAATCTGGCCATTAATGTTTGGTGGGAGGGGGAGGAGGGGGTTGGTAAAGGGGGATTGGGAGGGGGTTGAAAATTTAAAAAAATCGTAACTCCAAAATTACAGTAGCTAGCGAAACGCGGTTTTCAATTTAAGATTAGGAATAATATTTGCAACAAAATTTGTAATAACATCAAAATCAGTGGCAGTTTTTGAGATAAAAAAATTGGAAAAATTCCTTTACTTTGAAACTAAAAGAATTGCCTACCAACTTTTTATAAACATTTTTTTTAGTATGGGCGGTTATACGTGCCTACCGGCGCCAATTTTTTAATATCACGAGATGGTTTTGCTGAGTATTATCATAATGTCATATCGACACTGATTAGAACTATATTAAAATTTAAAAAAACGCTATATTAAAATTTAAAAAACGTTAAAAAGTAACAATACAGGCTTGGTTTCATAAATATTGGTAACACTAACGGAACTAAGAATATTAAAAAAGTAACTGTAATCACTAAGTGTACAAATAAACAAAAAACTGGTAAAAAATACTCTTAATACTTTGTATGGCCTCCCCTGGCTGATATAACTGTCTGTAGGCGTGGGTTCATGCTATTAAGCTGCAAATATATTGTGTTACGTTTTCCCATTCTTCTTCAAGGACCAAGCATAATTTCGGCCATCTTCAACACTGAGGACCATATTCAATCATACACAACAATAATCACCAAAGCCACCTCGTCATTATGAAAAATAACATCAAAAAGTAACGATAATTGAAAAAAATTGCAAAATGTTTGTAGCAAGTTCGTTTTGCTCTTAAAAATTAACCAAGACATGTGTTGACATGAGTCAAAAAACAAAATCTTCAGCAGAATGCTCGAAATTATTGCACAGGGTGTTTTAAAGATAGGGTAAAAGACTCTTCGATTAACCCTATATAATAAGTCAGATACTAAAGTATATAATACACTGAGTTTACGAATTAAAGTTGATATATTTATATACAGTTTGCTAAAGAAATCAAAAAAATAGGGCTAAAAATAAAAAATATAACATTTTAAACTAGACCATAAATTTCTCTGTTGAATTTTTTTTCTGCATCTGAGTGTAGTTTCTATCATCTGCTGATCATGCTAACATAATTAGAGCTCAAACGCACTGACGCGACGGCCAGGTGGCAGCGACCAGCCAACGCCGCGCCGCTTTTGTCGCCCACGTAGGACGAAGCGTTGGCGAAACGAGCGTCCAATGCAAAATTAAATTGTTTTGGTATATTTTGGTGAATCAGTGTTTTATTTTACTGTTATAACACTAAAGATTCCAATTATATTTTAATAAAATATTTGTATAATAGGAGCAGAAAAAAAACAATATAAAATACAATTTATCAGTTACTTAAAGGTGCGTTCACACGAGCTGCGCCGCTCCGCGCCGCGAAAAACATTTTTTTAACATGTACTTTAAAGTGTTTTTTTTAGCGCGCACAAAAATGTATCTTAAAAAAATGGTTTGCGCGGAGCGGCGCAGCCGGTGTGAACGCACCTTAAGAGTCCATTTCACTAGTCCGAAAAAGTAGCAAAATAAGCGTTCGGCATTTATTGTTTTATGGAAAACTGGTTAAGTTTTTTTACACAAATGAAGAAGGAACTTAAGGATAAAGGATTATACTATATCCGTATTGTAGCACATTTTTAGTTAACTTCTTTATTTTCAAGATTTTGATGGTCAGACATCAATCAACAAAATATTCCTAATGTTTGGATTATTTTTTTTTTCGAAAACAAAGACATAGTTTAAAATTCTGTTGCAATACAGAAATACACACACCGGAAAATCTAGGAATATCATTTTGTTAAAGTTAAATATAAATGTTTTGAATAAACAACCACATATTTATAGGCCGATTCTTTCAACTTCGATTGAAACGAAGTAGTCACACTAGTTATTTCTAAATTTGGGATATTTGCAGAAGTGTTTATGCATTTTTTGTCAAATGTATAAAAAGCATCTAGCATCAATTGTTCGAATTTAACCTGTACTGACTATGTTTTTATGATAACTGGCCAGAATTCATTCAAATAACTCTGTTTAGTATTGCCAAGGATGGAATTATTCGATATATAAAATAACATATTTAATATTAATATATTTCGTAAATTAATAATTCGATTGAAAGGAAATATAAAATAATTAAAGTTCATTGGCATTTACGCCACAAAAGTAAAGTTTTAAAAATCAAAGTTATAAGCATAATTGGCAATTGCGAGATATTTCCTTTCAATATTACGAATTAATAAAATCATCAAATCAGCACTAACGCGGTCATCGCACCGGTCATCGCACCGATAGACCAATAATGCTGATTCGATGATTCGACGTAACGAACCAATAAATACAAAAATGTCACCTGTTGGGGGAACAGGGGATAGTCGAGAATTGATGTTCGATAAGGTCGCGGTCGACATTCCGGCATTGACGTTACACTACCCTGACACTGCCCTCGAACCAGTGATGATGTTCGTCCAAAAATATAATATGTAAGTACATATTTAGTTTTATAATTATTTCATTATTCGTAAATTAATTAAATTGATTATTAAATTGAATCATCTGTATTATTCCGCTATGCCCCTAGTCATAACCCACAAAATGGGTCGTGACAGTATTAAACGACATTATGGAGCGTAGACATCTTAACAGAGACGAAATGCTAAGGGCCATGGGTATGCTCGAAGCTGGAATGCGCCAAATCGACGTAGCTAGAGCATTAAATACAACGCAAAGTGTAATATCGCGATTAAGTGCACGCTACCGTGAAAGTGGTGATGTTACTGAAAGACACACAGGGCGACATCGCATTACTAACCCTCAACAAGATCATTTTTTACAATTAAATGCTCAACGCCGACCGACTCTTACAGCACCAGAGCTTAGTTTAATTCTCCAGGAAACACATAATGTAACCGTTAGTCCTGACATTGTTCGCAATAGATTAAGAGAGGTCAACTTAAGAAGCAGACGCCCCTGGAGAGCTCAACCCTTAACGAGAGGAAATCGAGAGGTACGATATTTGTGGGCTCAAGATCATGTTCATTGGTCGAATGAACAATGGGCTAATGTTCTCTTCACGGATCAGTCACGCTCTGGAATTCATCCGGATTCGAGAAGGCTTAGGGTATGGAGAGAACCGGGAAATCTTATTCGGTTGGATCATGTTCAGGAAGTGCACCCTTATCAAGGTGGAACAATTATGGTCTGGGGAGGAGTCCAGTTAGGCCGAAAAACCGATCTCGTTTTTCTTGAAAGGTTTCTAACAGGAATCACATATCGTGATTTAATTCTTGAGCCTGTCGTGTTACCATATGAGAATGATTTTGGGAGAAACTTCATTCTCATGCATGACAATGCACAGCCTCATACAGCCAGAGTGGTAAGTGAGTTTATCAATGTTTTATCAATCAAATATCTTACCCTGGCCGGCACAATCTCCTGACCTCAACCCCATCGAGCACGTATGGGACGCGATCCAAAGAAGAATTTTGAGAATGGGTATGCCTCGTGAAACTCGTAGGGATTTGATTCGGGCCGTGAATGCAGCGTGGCAGGCTGTACCTCAAGAAGAGATCGACAACCTGATCAGGAACATGGAGAGACGATGTAGGGCTGTAATGAACAGTAGAGGAGACCATACCCTTTATTAAGTAAAAATGGTTTTATCTTTTTTTTTAATTCACAGTTTAGAATAAAAAAAATGTGTGTATTTTTTGGAGTTCAATAAAAATCAAGGTGAATTTGAAAAATTCGGTAAATTTCGCATTTTTATTTCCAATACGTCCTGTAAACGATTTGCTTATTTTAATTTTATTATATCAGAAATGCAAATAATAAAATTACTGACGATGGCTGGATAAAATTGTAATATCCCTAGACTTTTCCGGTGTGTGTAGATTGAAGTTTTGTGATTACAGTGATATATAATTTATATGGTTTTGTAACAAATTGCTTGCTATTTTATGGCAAATGCTGAAGCTCTGCAAACTTTAATCAAGCCTTAATCAAAGCACGTGTGTTTGGAATTTTGGGTGTGGCTTAACACCACAGGATCTGGCTAAGCCTTAGGCAGATTTCTGAAATATAATATATATTTCCTTCGGCCACACACCCGTTTTACCCGACCCCTTAGAGCGACCCGAAAGTACATTGTAACAGACTCTTAAGTATTTAAATAAGATTTTACTTTGGCACCAAAAAATCATAAAATAAAATAAACTTACTATCATAAAATAAAATAAAAACACTATATATTCTACTCATGTAAACAAAATGTATAACTTATCAACTCAAGAATTAGCTTCAATAATTATGTTGCTTATGGTCTTGTTAACTTTTTTCGAAGTGATGCAAAATATCAAACTACATTCAATATGCTTTAAAAAAATTCAAAATATCATATTAAACCATTTCAAATAAAAAAAGGAAAGCAATAGTAAACATGCTACAATATATCAAACATGAAAAAGATAAAACTGCTTAAGCCAAATATAGGTCATTAATCTTTGTCACAACTGAGGAATATGATGTAGTTGAAGGGACATATAAATCACATCTACTCTAGTTTTATAGAAGAGAAAAGTAGCTACCCTTTAGAAGGATCTTCTATGAGAAAACTTACTACTTATACCTACTTATACCACAGATTAGGTATACTATATGTATACAGATAAAAATCTTATCCCAAATTCGTGGTACGAAAATTGTTTTTTATGACGATGTGCAAACGAGTAAAATTTCCTGTGCGCAAAAATAAACTCGCGTAAAACAACAATAAACAGCGTAATAGAGAGATATCGGTAAACCGAATAACGTGCATGGACGTTAATAAGGGTGTTATTTCCTTTACGTGAGGTGGTATTAACTCTCTTCATTTATAGTTATCGGATCGGAAAGAATTCTGTTCTCGTCGCGTCCGCTATTTAAACTTAACCTAACTATGAATTTAAAACTTTGAAATTGTTTTGTTTACTAGGTATTTTAAAACTAAAGGGCTAAAGTGCTTATTTCCAGTGCTTCATTGTTCAACGTCTGACAGTGGGTTTAGGGCAACAAGCAACAAATTCTCTTAGAAGGGCTAAGTCGTCATCTGCTGTAAACCTAAGCCTCTTTATAGGTTCTTTACTAATGGAAGAGGTGGAATCTATATTTTGGGCCATATTTATTTAATTAAAACTTATCCCAGCTACTTAAATATCAAATTACCTAATAAAACTAAAGTAATAATTCAAAACAATTCAAAAATAACCTAAAATAAAAGATCTCGCCGCTCGCCGGCCGGCCCCGGTTGTTAAATGTACCCGCACATGCCCATTTAAGCAATTTTTGAACGTTATTTAGAAATAACGCTTGATGTAATTAATCCGCAAATTACGTCAGGCGGTAACGTTATTAGCAGGTGTTGCGTTAAAAATTGACTCGCGCATATCGTAACCATGATAAGGTACGCGTAAATACTGCATGACGCTATTCGGTTTTCCGATATCTCTCTAATAACTGCGCCGGTCAGGCGCTGTGCACAATTAGAGGCTATAAGTCGGCGTGCTATGTGCGCAAACTAGTATCCTAACTAGTGCGCGATTCCGAAACTTGGAATCACGAAAAACTATAAAGAAAAAACAAAGTTTATAATCTGTATGATCTGTGCTTATACCTTATACTATATTATTACTAAAACATCAAAAGCATGCCACTTACAATAAGATGAAAAGCTGTAAATCTAGCTCCTCTGATTGGTAAGAAAAATAAAAAGGGTACTGCCGTCTCACAAATGCTTGCATAGACTGTTGAAAGTCTTAAAATCCATTTCGGTAAATGATGGGCATACCATGATAAAGGGTTTGGCAAAGGCATTGTTTCAAATTGGTGATTTAAAGCTAAAAATGGACAAAACATTATACAAGTTCCTCCATGTTTCCATTACCAAATTTACCAGATAGAGTCCACCATTTTGGACAACCACCCAAAAGTTTTGTTACCCCAATAGTGAATAAATATCTGAAGACCAACCATCTACAAATCCAAAAGCTAATCAAATCTATGGTGGCACTTTTACTTCTTCTGCGAGATGGGAAAAATGGGGCCATAAATATAGCCAGAAAGCCAGCTTCAAGAAGGAAATCATCACTAAATAAAGAGAGGTTCAATTTTAGTAGGTATAAATAATAATAATGCTGCTCTACTGCTTATATTAACATTTAAAAACACTAAAAGTAAGGCTTCATAATGCAAATTTAATGGTTTGGAGTATGAAATGGTAAAATAATATTAAAAAATGTCTATACCTAGGTATGTGGCGGATTCATCTCTCCAAAAAATCCTCTATGGGTATTTCGCCACTGCAAGAAAATCTACAAAATAAAATAGATATTTTTTATAAACACTTCTGCGTTAACCCAAACAGAAACTACTTGTCAGAAGTTAGGTTTACAGATATACAAATTTGCCTAACGAACAAAAAAATGCTTAACGTTTCAGAAAGTTTATCTCTTTCCATCGTCGGAAGCAAAAAAAATATAAAGAATAAAGAAAAAAACTATTTAAAATATTTAAATTCAACTATTCGAGAACGCTTTAGTTTTTTAAAACAGATACATAAAACAAGGCTGGAACTTGATCAGTTATGCTGTATTTCCAGTCTTTTTGTAATTTTGTATATTTTTCTTTTCTTTATATTTTTGTTTATTGTGTTTTATAATTCTTTTGGTTGTATCTAATCTATGTACACAAATTACAATAAATTTTCTTATTATTATTATTATTATACATCTACAAAAATATAATAATATAATGATATAATATATGTCATTTTTCACCTAACCAAACCAACAGAACGTCAACGGTTTTTTGTAGATGTACCTGTTTTAAATAACTAAAGTGTTCTCGAATAGATGAATTTAAATATTTTAAATAGTTTTTTTCTTTATTTTTTGTATTTTTTTTTTTTTGCTTCCGACGACGGAAAGAGATAAACTTTCCGAAACGTCAAGCATTTGTTTGTTCGTTAGGCAAATTTGTATATCTGTAAACCTAACTTCTGACAAGTATCCATTTGGTATGTATCCAATATGTATCCGTTTGGATCAACGCAGAAGTGTTTACAAAAAATAACTATTTTATTTTGTTATTTATTTCTTGCAGTGGCGAAATACCCATATAGGAGTTTTTGGAGAGATAAAATAATATTATTGTGATTTAGATTAGAGACATCTAAAAAGACATCTTTTTATCAACATAAAAAAGCATTTATCTTTGATGATATTTAAATGACCTTAAATATGCATGAAACTGTAACAGAGTAATAGAAAACCAGTTTGTTATTTGAGCTAAATTATTTTACTTAAGGAATATCAAATATCTTCAACAATAATAAAATAACTATAAATACTTACTAATTATTTTCAACAAAAGATTGTCCTACTTGATACAAAGAAAAATATAATGACCATAAAGCTGTAAATACAGGTACAATACAGAATTTCTGTGATACCAGGCTAAAAAATAAAAAAATAATAATAATAAACATTAACAGTTGAATTTTATATTACCCTGTGAATGCTAAGAATGCTCCAAATAGTGATAGAACATCAATAGCAGCACTGGTACTCAGTCCTAAGTATGGTGCCAACCAGAGCAACGTTGGTTGATAGTGTATTTTGGCTGAGAGTGTTTTATGTTTACTGTTTTCCAATACAGATCTCGCTGGTAAAATACCATTATCGCCATATAAACCTACAATTTTTTTATACAATAGATTTAAGGTATACTTACGTATTATTAGGTAGTTATTGATATTCACATTAAATATCGGATTTCTGTATGTATTTATTTCCAAAATCCAAAGAAGTAAACAAATTAATCACAATTCTAATTGTGGAAATTACTTAATACATAGGTACTTTTATTATTTATATAAATACCATAATATACTAAATGATAACTTTGTAATAAAAGAATTGCATAAACAGGTAAAAATAGAATACGTGTGAACTACAATTAATTAATGCGTCCTTAACGGTTCATACTATTTGTTTACAACGATTAGCTTACCTGGAGCTTGATAATAAAAAGACAAAAAAGCCGAAAGGTAAACTATACAGAAAGTCCTTAAAAATAGGTTCCTCGTGTAACCAACAGGTTTAATCCCGCTCATATTTGATAAAAAAATGCCACTTTTATTGACGAAACGATACAAAAACCATCGAACCACGTTTCCGTATTTCTCACAAGCAAGCTAGCGTTGTTTTTAATTCGATTGCATTGGAGAGGAGAGAAATTTTAATTAAATAGACATAGGAAATATAGGAATGGCAATCCACATAAACATCGCGCACACTCCAAGTTAAAGAGATGTTTGTGGTCTGTGGATGAGTTAAAGTCATAAAGTAACTAAAATAAAAGAGTGTTTGAAAGGTTGTCTAACTTGGCCATAATGTTGCATAGTTCAGTTAGGGCTCCAAAGCGTCGCCACCTGCTATCTGTCACGTGTCATGACAAGATTGACAAGTGACATGACAGCAAATTATTTGTATTTTGCAGTTGTTTACAATTATGTTTTGAATTTTGGAATTTTGTTATTATTTTGTGTAGTATACACTTTGTTTGTTTGTTTTGTGTTTGTGCGTACAGAAATTATGGAGGAAGTTTTGTTTCCCGAGGAACCAGAGACCTTATATTTCTCTATGATTTGAACTTTGTTTTGTGCTATGTGTTTTACGGTCATCATGTAATATTTTGTTCAGCCGATGATGTGATTTGAACACGATCCAGGAAAGGGTATCATGCAAGGCAAGTTTGATATGTAAAGACATTGCCCATCTCTGAACTCAATAACGTAAAGCGAACTGACTATATATTCGCGCCTTGATTTCACAGTGTTGAACATTTGCTACCTCAACTGAACTTCAACTGCTGAGTTTATAAATCCAACTTACAGGTGAATTAATTTTTGATGATGTCTTATTTAAATCTTAATCTGTTATAATAGCATGGATTGCAAACCCTGCGATCTTATATGCTTTGTTAGTGGCGTTGTTAAATACGTTTTATAATACTATAGGTTAATCGAGGGGTAAACCGCTGGTGTATTTTGGTGTACAAGATGTTGGCATTTTTGGCATTTTCGTGGTATTATTGGTATTAGTACTAAATTATTTGGCATTAGTGTACAGAAATTCATCAGCGGTTTACCCCTCGAGGTTAATTCAGCATATGTTTTATATTATCAAATTTAATTTAGCATTTAACTGTAAGCATTTAAAAAGTGTACAATAGTTTATACTTTTCAAATATTCCGTTTTTAAAAATAAATTTTCTGTCAAAATGTTTTTTGCAGTTTGATTTCGTAATATTTTTAAAAATACATAAAATTTTAAATTCACATTTAAACTGCCCGCCTTTTTTGTGGTAGGTAATGCAGATACCTATTTTACCGATTACGTCTGTCATATTTCTATTAGTTCAGTTAGGGCTCAAGGGTGCGCTACAATCGATCCTCGTTAAACGTGTTGCCTACTTTTTACTATGGAAATGACAACTCTTTTATTTTATATTTCTCTATGGTTAAAGTCAAGAACAGTTAACCCAGAGTTAACCTAATAGGACTGCTCATTCAGCCAAAAGTGTCTGCCAGGTGCATGCCACTGCATGCGAAAACTACTCGCTTTGTGACGTCATTGTAGCCCACTTGTAGCCTTTGTCATAGTTATTAGTCCTTATCCGGCAACCAATAATACACACACGTGCATAATTGGTTACCAAATGCAAAACGTTCATTATTTAGTTTATTTATTTAAACACCTTATATGTATGCAGTAAAGAAAATTAAATCGTATTAAATACTCGGATAATGCATTTTTAAGAACAGCAGGTCCCAGCATCACCTTTTGCAAGCATTCTTTTTAGAGTACTTCCATATTTTGCTTTAAAATAATTAATAAACAAAATCGTGGGCACTTAGTATGCACTTTGTCACAATCCACAACACAAAATGAACGTATTTATACACTCTATAGCTCTAAAAACTTTAAAGACACCTTTTTTAAGTTTACCATAGGCAACTAATAATACACACTATCATGACAAGGCCACGAAGGCTTTGACAAGGACTACAATGACGTCATAACTGTCAGCTGAAGCGCGGGAAGTGTGGCGGGAAGAGGCGAACCAGTGCCTTCTATTAAAAGATCAGCCTACGGGCGGACTTTTGTTTACTTCATCAGCTGTACATACTTAGATATTGGGTTAGATTCCGTTTCATATTTTGTCGGTTGATTTTTGTTTTTAACTCTTTGATTTTTGGTATTATTTATTAATGTAGTGCAAAAAACTAATTATTTTGGTGTTGAAGTGACATAAACTAATACCAGATATATGGTCACTCTCGGTTTCTGCATAAAAAAATAGAAATTTTAAAAATTACACGTTGTGTAAGTGATTTAACCTAAAAGTGCCCATACATTTTTACTTATCGTGATTTTGTGTGTGTGTTTTTAAGACTCTAACAATTCATCAATAAAGCTTAAGTGGAGGTGTTTTTGGTGCTATGCCTCATCTTTGTTGTGTTCCTGGTGGAAAGGATAGTTACTAAGGATAGTTATTATAGTGTGTTTTGGTGCTATGCCTCATCTTTTGTTGTGTTCCTGGTGGAAAGGATAGTTACTAAGGATAGTTATTATACTAGGCAGCCTAAAGTGTCCGGAAGAGCAAGAAAAGTGGGTACGAGTTATAAATCAAGAGAATTTTATTGAAAATATCTTTAATAAATTTAAAAATAATATTCTCCCATGATGGTATTAATGAAAACTGGACAATTATGTTTATTTTATTCATATTGTGGAATCTCCACTCCAAGTGTTGCTGGTTCAGCTTCGATAGATTCAAACACGTTAGTAGGTATTATGATCTAGGGAAAAATAAAGAATATGTGTATTAGAGATCATGAAAAAGATTATTATTTTGAGTTCAAATTTTAAAAAGACAAGACTGATACAGTTTAAAAGAAGAATGTGTTTTTGTTTGATAATATATAATGTATGTTAAGCATAACATATATTTGTTCAGTAATTTTTAATGAATAGTATTGATTATTTATAATACCAAATTAATATCAAATATTTAAGTGATGGCTGAATACAATATGAATAAAATAACAATAAAATTGGTATATTTGCATAATACAAAATTAAGTTTTAAGAATAAAGGTGTTACTAAAAAAGAAATTCATATTTCTTTGTTTTAATTGGTCTAATGTTATTTACATTGTACGTAAGAATTATACCGTATCATCGAAAAAAATCGGCGTCTAGTTGGCTTGAAATGAACATCGATGACATTCCCTAAATAACTGTACACATAAAATAATTAACTAGAATTTTACAATCTTGGAAAATTTGATATTCTTGAACCTTGATTCTAAATATTCTAAATTTTTGATTTTCTTGGAATTTAGGTTCGGGAAAACGCTGATTGATTTTTCATTATTTTTATTTGTTAAAAAAAAAAAACGGTTCGGCTAACATTATAGCCTCCATCAGTGTTGTGTCATATGAAAAAATAGTGTCGAATATAATCCAAAAATTGCATATAAAATATTCACACCATGCACATAATGTTTACTGCGTACTCCACAGTCAATGTAGATAATTTTAGTGTTAAGAATAATAATTTTAAAAATATGTGGTCATCTTTTGATAAGTTTATATTAGTTTATTAATTGCAGTAAACATTATGAGGTGTGAATTATATTGTATATGTAATTTTTTGGATTATATTCGACACTATTTTTCTCATATGACACAACACTGTGAAGGCTATAGTTAGCCGAAACGTTTTTTTTTAAACCAAATAAAATAATGAAAAACCAAATGAAAACTTAATCAGCGTTTTTCCGAACCTAAAATCCCAAGAAAATCAAAATTTTAGAATAATTTAACATATAAAATGCCAGCGATCTTCATTTCATAACCATCGCTGACGCCTTTTTAGATAATATTGTATTATTTGTAAATATAATTTTTCGAACATTGATACTTGCAAAATATACATATAAATTTTGTGAATGCAAATAATAATACATCACTATTAGTAGATATTAAATGTTTTTGTTAAATTAGATCGATTTTCAAACCCCAAAATTTAAAATATATTTACATTTTACCCATTATCTTATGTACCTATACATTATTTGTACATTGTAAAACATTTGCTGCATTTGTATGGTTTATAGTTTATTTGCCAAAGTATTTATTACTATAAATAGGTATATATGTTGTAGTTATTAACTGTATATTATGTATATTTCATTTAAGATATATCATTTTTAAAATACAAACCAAAAATCTGTGGAATAATTATGTTTTCCATGTATTCTACAACATATTTATTAATCCGTTATATCTAACTAGCGTGACGTCATAAATCTCGCCCGTAGGCTGATCTTTTAATAGAAGGCACTGGGCGAACGTACGTCTTATGAGAATGAGCAATCCTATTAGTTTATCGTGAGTTTACCGTTCTTGAGTTAAAGTGAGTTCCATAAAGAACGTCTTGAGTTAAAGTCTTGTTAAAGTTATCTACTAACTAGGGTTTTTTATTTTTTGATTCCACCAGCAGCCACCCATATACGTATTACTTTTTACAAATATACTCAGCCTAATCTCCAAAAAGTGAAGCCCAAACAATGAAAGAACAATATGGAATTCTGCATAAGTCTATTTCACCCGGATATTCATTTAACTGAGCATGCCTCACCTGAAGAAGTTTTCATTGGTCGATGTTTTTAAAGGGAAGTGGTTGACTGACATTTCCCCTAACCTTCAATTTTATTTATATTTTTATTATTTATAATACATTATCATGGAGTTGGAAAAATATCAAAAAATAGTTGGAAACAATAAACTAAACAAAATCACTCCTTTACGCGCACAAATAAAAAATAATCCAAACAGAACTAAAACAACAATCAATCGGAGTTTGGCGCAATCGCAGTTCAATCCATATCCGGGTGAAATAGACTTATGCAGTTTTAATATGGAGCTGGGTTATGTTGTCTTTTTCTTACGGCACAGAAATTGCACACGGGGTTAAATAGGGAACCCTGAGTATATTTGTAAAAAGTAATACGTATATGCAGCCACCAGAGATAGGGAAACGTGATACCGTCCTATTGGCGACATTGATTTATGTCGGTCCTCCAAAGAAAAATATGTGCCGAATAGCCGTGGCAGCTCAGGCCATAAAATTTTAGGTAAAGGTGTGGATCCGGTGGCTGACCTTGAAGCCCATATTTGCTGCATTTGATCATCGATACTACGCAAGCGCACATGGTCGATGTTGCCAAATTGCAGTTTATTTTCGAAT